CTTAAACGGCTTAGTTTTAGAAATACAGGAATATTCGCAAATATTTGACGAAACGATAAGTTGCGTTGGAGATGTTTTCCTGCATCAATATGCCTTGCTTCACGTGAATTATCATTCGCACAACCGTAAACAAAGTGACAAAATCAAAGTTAAAGTCAAAGTCACAAAATCAAAAAGGACTTCGGATGTTGTTGCGGTTCAATTAGTTTGTACATAAGTTTTCGGACCAAATTGTTTCAGTCCATCAAAATCGGTTTCATCATGCCTTAGTTTACAAATTTTGAAATGGTAGATGCACTTTGCCTACGGTCTTGCAAATAGTAACTCTCATGAGGCAAGGCGTATTTATGCAGAAAGATATCCCTAACGCAATTTATCATGTCGTAAAACATTTGCGAATATTCACCGCTATCTTCGAGAAAAGGATTCTTTCTTAAGAAATAACCCGTTTCTATTTTTAACTAGTTTTTAACTAGCTCAAGCTATATTTCTTTTAAATAAATAGATTATTACTACACGTTTAAATTTTTTTATTTCGGAAACTTACTTTCTTATAAAAAATTTCTTGTGCTCATTTATCCTATTCAGAAGGTAATATAAGTTTGGGAAGGGGTAATATAATAAAAGCATCCGCCATTTTAACATTTGCATTAAAATAATCAATTTCGATACTAAAATAAAATATCAATAAATTTAAATAAAAGACTCCAGAAAACAATACAATAAATAACGAAACCAAATAATGGCTATAGAAATCAACGGGAGACAGTACGCAAATCAACAAAGTTGCTATTCAATAATTTGCTATAAAATATTTGTATGTTTCGGGTTTGAACCTTCCTCAGCAAAAATTACAAATAACAATATAATTTAAAATTGATTAGACCATATGACCGAATAAAACCATAAAAAGTATAAAAGATAAAATGTAGTAATGAATAAACATAGCAATAAAGAGACATTATATAAAAAATTTTTAAAAAATCGCAATAAGTTTCATCAAATCAGGTGCTGCAAATTGCTACAAAGAGAAACGTGAGACCAACACGATAATCAATACAGTTGCATGGCTGGTTGAATTACTTGCGTGTGTCAACAGTTAAAATAATGTTGTATATAGTAATAAATAAGAAGATTTATTAAAATTTTACAAACAAACACACTTTTTTGGTACACTTATGGATTTTCAACTTCCTCCTATCCTTGCAGAATTGGTGATGCAGGATTTGGAAAGCAGGATGCTGGATTCTTTAGGTATTTGTATATCCTTTTTTTATAGATACGTTGACAATTTAGTTATGGTGGTCCTTTTCTCTTTCATCGATAACGTTTTAAAAGAATTTAACTATCATCCAAGATTGCAATTTATCATGGAGGTGGGTGGTAAAAAAATCAATTTTCTAGATATTATCGTTATTGATAATCATCATATTAAATTTAATTGTTATCAGAAACCATCGTCCTCGGGTAGATTCTTGAATTTTTTGTCGCAGCACCCTGTTACTCAAAAAAGAGGCATTATTATTAGTTTAGTTGACAAAGTTTTTCTTCTTTCACATCCGGAAAAGTTCCATCAGAAAGATATTGAATTAATTATATGCATGTTACAGAACAATGATTATCCATTGGATTTCATTTGCAATACTATAACAAACAGAATTAAGTTTTAAATCTATAATAAAGACGTTAAATGTTACATACAAATTCTATTGCCAATGAACAGTCGATACCATAAATTAAATTATGGCTCGCCTTTCTTTATGTGAAATATTTCTTGAAAATATTCAAACATAGAATAAAAAATTACTTTTTACAGCATGCGTAAATTAAGTCAATTCATTAAAGTACAGAAAGACCCGTTACCAAAGAACAATAAAATGAATGTTGTTTATAAAATTGAATGTGCAAGGACTGTGATGCATTTTATGTAGGACAAACTGGAAGGAAATTAAAAACCTGAATATCAGAACATGTTAATCATCAGAAGAAAAACGTTGACTCATTCTGTTATTACTGATTACAGAATGCACCACAGTCATGATGTTCGATTGATCTGATGTTAAAATTCTGGATGTAGAGAAAACATCAAAAGCGCCTCATCTCAAAAATGATATATATTAAGCGTCAAGCAATGGTCTTAATTTGAAAACAGATACAGAAAGCTTAACCCAAGCATATGATGATTTCATTAACTACAATGATTTCATTAACTATTTATAAAGATATATTCATTGTTTATATGTATTGACCTACTTCTTAACTTCTTTACATTACCACTTTATATTTGACCATTGAATTATTATTTTACATTATATTGACTGATTTATTTGTTTTACTGTTAACGATCTGAATTTTTCAACGCTGGTGCATTTGATGTCACAATGGGGGTGAGTTGATACGATGCAGTTTGTAAATTTTGATAAATCTACTTCCTATTTATTACTAAGAACATACAACATTATTTTAGCTGTTAACATACGCAAGTGATTCAACCAGCCATGCAACTGTATTGATTATTGTGTTGGTCTCACGTTTCTCTTTGTAGTAACAATTTGCAGCATTTGATTTGATGAAACTTATTGTGATTTTTCTAAGATCTTTTGTATAATGTCTCCTTATTGCTACGTTTTATCTTTTATATTTTTCATGATTTTATTCAATTTTATGTTATATTATTGTTTGTAATTTTTGCTGAGAAAGACTTAAACTCGGACTCGAAACGTACAAGTTTTATATGATATTAAGCAAATTTTATTGAATATCGATTTTGTTGATTTGCGCACTGTCTCCCGCGCTGACTCTTATAGTCAGCTATTATTTCATTATTTATTATATTATGTATCATTAAATTTATCAAATTATGTATCAATAAATCTATTAAATAGTATGCATAAAATTTTTTTATTCTTCAGTATATGCTAGATATATTAAAATGTTTCTTTTTGATATAATTTGAGACTATCAAGCGGAACTCTATGCGACAAATAGTTTCAATGATACAGAGGTTTAAAGTTTTATAGTAAAAGATAAGAATTAATCGCTTGAAAATATCAATTTTTTATATTTTGAAAATATCAATTTTTTATATTTTGCCTTCGCAAATGTTTCCGACGTCTCTGACGAGGAAACTGCATACGACATTATTTGAAGTAGACTTTATGATAAAAAAAATGTGGCTATAGAGAGCTGTCTGCAATTAACAGAATCGGAGATATGAAATCGCGAATGAATCTAAAATTACTTTTTTTAAATCCAGTTTTTAATTTCGAAATCGCTGTAATTGCTATTATGTATGCAACTGCAAGTGTAACTTATTTTGCAATTGTTTACCGCAACTCCTAAAAATTGATAAAAAAATAACACAAAAAATAATAATATAAGTTCCAATCGCAGAATCTAAAATATAGAAATGTACAATTGTAGATAACTAAATGATTATAAATAAATAAATTAACATGAAATACATTAATTATAGATTAGTACAGATAAAATATAAAGTACAGATTTTTTCCGTCTGCATAAAAAAAAACCGAAGATTCATTTAAAAAGCCAATAGGAAAAGTGAACAACTGTGATTATAATCTATTTTTTTAAATTATTTTCAATATTTATTATATACATAAAGATGAAAATGTGGCTTTGCTGGCTTAAGAGGGTATTCTAATCTAGCGGGTAAAAAAAAATCAATTTTTTTTTACATATTTTACAATCAAGTATTTGATATAGAAAATACGTCTGTAAAAGGAATTAATTTGATTCGCAAAATTAATAAAGTTATTGCACCTGATGAACAGCTTTTTTGCATGTTTTGTTGAAGTGAGAGTAAAACGTCAGCTTTTCTTTGCTGCACAAAATTGCACCTTAATACTTTATACGATAAAAAAATAGTAGGATTAAGTTTTATACTGAATAAGTAACAGTAGAAATTGTGCCCAAATATATAAGAATTTATCCTGAATCACGCAAAAAATATTGTCGATCTTTTTTCCTCGTGACGTCATTTCGCGACAAATATAAAAAGAAGAACAGAGAATAGCTTCTAAAACTAAAGGTTAATAAATTCATACTTGACCTACATGATTAGCCTTGTTAATGCAAAAATGCATCGATTAGAAAATTCGTTTTTGCCGATTTGCTTTATTATTCTATCATTACATAGCAAGTTGATGGATACGATAAATCGCGAACGTCGCATGTTGCGAAAGTTTCCACATTGGATCCAGAGACACGAAGTCACGACCGGAGATTTCATCGATCCTAGTTCGCATATTACATTCATCGTTAATCTATATTGCACAATACGACCGTATATTTGTTTTACACAGAGAAACATATATAGTTATCACTACATTAACAAAACTGTAGTAATATTAACATGAATAATACAACAATTAGACATAAAGAATAAAATATAAACATCCGCAAAAAGAATTGTGAACTCGTTAACTTTACCGCCCGTCACAGTCACGAAAAGACAACGGAAACCCCGCGCCAATCTTATGTTATGAAAATGTCTTTCTGCGGATTTGACTAATTTTTGGATATGTTGTAGTTCTCTTCATTCTGAACAAATGGGCACAATTTGATCCTATGAGCCGTTTCCGCGCTATACCTAGTGAGAAATGATAATGGAATTGACATCGAATCGATGTCGATTCGACATCGATTTCATTTCTCACTGGACAAGCCTTGAAAGGCCAGTAATCGTGTAAAATCTGAACCTTTCAAGGCTTGTAACAGAAACGGCCCATAGAATCAAGTTGTACCCATTGAGACGTTTGTACATATCCAAAAACTAGCAAACAAATTTGAGAAAGACATTTTCCTGTAAGATTGGTGCGGGATCATTTATCAAGTACTCTTCGATAACGAAGCTCTCCCTATCACCTGTTGAAGAATTCTTGCTATAGCGTTTTTCACCATGGTGATCACAAACAAATTTAAACGAACAGATACACACTAATAATAAATATCTCTCGTTAAGTGCCGAGCACCCCCGAAACTAGGGATCAACCACCTCTTTCGACCGCCGCCGCACTTTCTAAGCGACGCTGACAAAAACTCACTTTGCCGGCACCGGAGTCACCGACGAGCACAATTTTCAGCCGCTTCTCGGCGGACTCCTCTTCAACGTCCGACATTGGAGATGTGACGAAGATATAGACCGAATCGACAATGATCCTCGATGATGATCATACGAGCGGCATGACTCGTCCGTCGGGACGATCTTCGACTATAATGGCGCAGCATGAAATGTGGCAGCTCGCGTGTTGTGGCCGACAAGCGAGGTCCGAATCGACCGGCAGTGGTGGCCAGTACGCCGTCGTCGTCGTCGTTGTCGTCGTCTACTCGCAGGCATGAATAAATTAGCGAATAATCGATAATAGAACCGTGGCATCGCCAACGTGCGTACTTCGCGGTTAGTAGAAGTTTTCGACTTGAAAAGTGATCCTGTACAGAAAGAACAATTTTGCTGAAATCTTTCTAACAATATATCTCAAAATTTAGCTAAGATACAAATCTGAAAATAATTTTGTTGGATTAACAAAATAATTATGTAGGATGCTCAAGCGATGCTATGATAAGTTTTAACATTTGAACAATCAACTTGAACGTATTTTATATATATAATTATATATATTTTGATGATCTAATAAAATTATTTTATATAAAATTATTTACAAAGTTATTTTAAGATATAAGTATATAGCTGAATTTTTAGATGCTTTAACAAAATTATTCTTTTCGTGTGATGACAACAACGACAATAATAATGACGATGTGCGTAACATTTTGGATGACGACGATGTATTTGCGTTTAGTGGGACACTTTTCTTTACTCTGTGCAAGTTTCGATGTTCTTGGATAATTTGAAAGTTTGGAAATAAATACTGTTCAGCGTAAAAAATAGTGTTTGCGATATTAAATTACAATTTGTTGTATGATACAATCTTGTTTCCTTATTAACTAATCTATACATTAATACTGGCGTAATGAAAATATCGTATTTTATACATAAATATATTATTTTGTCGCTTTATTTTTAAGCACTTTTCCATGTCAACAGAGTCGTGGTAACACTCACAAAACAACTTGAAAACCTATCATCAACGTGCCTTAATTAAAAATTAGATCCTTATAATTTTGCAAAAGATAGTAATTCGATACTCTGCAACACGTAATAGTTCTCACAACTGTAAGTCGATCGGCTCGCTCGAAATTCGCTTTGACGATTTCATAGTATCTTCCGTCACTGCAACAAAAATGTTTTATAAATATCGCTTATTCTACAAGATAAATTTGTTTTAACTGTACCTATGCCTAAATCGTACAACAATTGTAATTACAATTTAAAGATTATAATTCTTGACAAGATACAATAAAATGTAACCAATAATTAACGTTTTAGACTAATGTTTTGTATCAGCAAGAGCGTTGTAAATGTCTTTAAATCGAAATTATACAGTATAGTTTATGCGCAGATATGATTTAAGCAATTTTATTTTTTATCGCTAATTTTTTACCTGAGGCTTAAACATTTCATCTTGATACACTTCACACGTAGAATATCAATAGCTTTCTGACTTTTGTCCGAAAATCGTAAGTTTTCCGGGTCCCATCGCAATTCCAAACGCTCCAAATTAGGACAATTATTAGCAATTCCGTCCATCAACTGATCCACGTGAATATTAACGCCCAGTCTCTCTTGAGTGCCCATCACAAGTATTCTGAAATATTATTGGAATTCTTAATTCTCAGAAAATGTTTATTTTTAAATTTAAATTATAATTAAACTTAAATTATAATAATACAAAGGGAAAGTCTTTAAATAATATAAAAGCCTTAAACTGGCCTTTGTAATCCTGAAGTAGAGCATGTGCATGTGAAGAAAATTACAAGTATACAAATTCATTATTCAAGACTGAATTGAATATTACATTTAACGAAAAAAATAGAATTAGTTACTACATAATTACAGCGTTGGGAAGTAATGTCGTTTTCTTTTTTTCGGTAACGATCGTTACTTCTTTTTGTCAGTAATAGAAATATCAAACAATCTATCCGGCCGTTTTTTTACAATCCAGTCAGATAGTTCAATCCATTCAGTCGACTATTAAGAAAAAAATCATTTTTCACAATTTGAATAAATAATTTTAGACTGCGTTCCATTATTTATTGCAAGTACTGAAAATCTGAAGTGTAATATGAATTACAGATTTCTAGTATTTACATTGTATAGTAAATAATGGAACCTAGTCTTGATAAACGCCAACTAATCACTTAAGTGATTTTCTCTATAATTGGCTAGAATAATTCTTTTTTGTTCTGAATCACGTGAGTCAGTTGGCGTCTCTCTTTAATGTAGGTTATCTAGTCAGTATTGTACGTCAGTACTATACGATTTTCCTCTATATATATAGTAAATAAAAAATTATTATATTATGTAAGATTTGAACTTTGCTCCAAATTTTTCAAAACACTATTTAGTTCTACTGGATTATTAACTCGTAAGATATTTAACTTTAGATAAATTTAATATAGATATAATATTGTTGATTCTTAATACATAGAAAATATATAGAATAGATTTTCATTAAATTTATTATGAATAATTAGTTTTATTAAAAGTTAATAACGAAATATTAAAAAATCATTTAATACATATAAGTTATCACATTTTTGTAGTTATAATGGTTTTTATTAAAAAATCTTCTTTGTTACTGTAAAAAAAAACAATTAAATTTTTTTTTAAACAATTAAATTCTTTTTGTGCAATTGCCGGGTAAAATTCAGGTATCACAGCTTATCGGGCTTTGTCGAATAATTCGTTTATTTAGTAGAAATAAATGACGAATTATCCAGTATTTGATTATTCGACAAATTATTATCTATTTCTTACTTGTATGGGATTAGTCACGTATTGAATACTTACTTTGCATTAGTGAGAATTGGTAATACACTTTGCCAAAGTTGGTCAGTAACCGCCATCCCTTACAGCGCGAGGCCATACAGCTGATGGCCGTACCTCGACAGGAACTTGTGTAGAGCATCGTCGCTCAAATTATCGGATCTATCTAAGTCCAGTGCTATCAAGTTCCGCGTATTTCCAAGCTCAGTCCAGGCTTTCAGCACATTATCATTAAAATTGTTTAATTGACCGGCGCTCAGAAAACGCAGTCCGGGGATTCTGCTCAACATGTCAATCAGGCATTCCGTCGATAGATCTGTAGCAGTAATGTCGAGCTCCAGAATGCTCGACTTTTCCCATTCAACTTGCATCACATATTCGCTCTGCAGATCTAAAATATTGTATGACTATTATTGTACACTATTTCTTTAAAATATATCAGATAAAAAAATTACATTTCGATTCGAGTTGCGTAAGAGACATTTGTTTATTAATATTCTAACTTATAATTTAGACAATTTAATTTATTTAATTTATTTAAACAAAAATTCGTAAAGTAACAGATTTCAAAAATTTTAAGTAAATAAAATTTTTTATCAAAAATAGCAAATAAATCAAGACGACATAAACATAATCGTATCTTACTTGTTCCTTGCATAAGAAGACACGTCAGTCTTCTACTCCTTTGAAAGAGAGTTTTCATGGTCGAACCAGTCACTTTGGAACAATAATTCACCGCCAAGCATTCTAATTGTATACAATTAGAGGAAAAAGCATCGATATGCGAATCATCCACGAAGTTAATTCCGTATAAATTGATGACTCTTAAATTTGGCGTTGCCGATTTTAGTTTATGTACATTGATTACCTCATAAATCTCTTCTTCTTCTTCTTCAACCTTTTCATATGTCCCTAAAAAATAGATAAAGCAATTAAAAGAAATATTTAACATTATATAATAAATATATAGATCCTTTAATAATATTTTTTAATATACTATACAGAATCTATCCAAAACACCAGAATATTTTAATTAAACCCAGTAAATAAGTAACAGTGTTTCAGACAAATTTGTATGATTTTAGGTGAGATAAATAATAAAAAAATTAATTTAAAAAAAAATCAATTTTTTAAAGTCATATGAAGATCGAGATGGCTATACAAATCGATTGTGCCTACAGCATCTCTCTCGTTTGCCTACATCATTTTTGTCGATAGTTCGTTTGCACACAAAAATTATTGCCTACAGCGCGATTGCCTATAAGCATTTTTGCACACAAATATAATATGCTTCTCTAATTGTTCTCTAATTATTTATGTTATTATATATTAACTAGAAGAGTTACATTACATTAAAAAATCATCCATATTACTCCATTTTAAAAAGTGGAGATGACCTTCATCTTGGAATCTTGAAAAATCAATTTTTTCAAAAATTTATTTTATTATTTGTCTCTCTTAAAACCATACAATTTTTGTCTAAAACATTTTTGTTTTGACTAACGGGTTTAATTTTCGAAATATTCCGGTGTTTTGTTTTAAGTGCCTCATCTTATATAAATATAATGCATCCATTTGTTTAAAGACCGGTTGTTCCGGCTTCAGATAAACTATGTGGTGATTTATCTATTGGATAAATAAAAGAGTAAAAGAATAAGAGAATAAGACAGTGAGCTGAAGTTTACCGAAAAGTGAAACAACTCAACATAAATATCAGATTTGATATTCAAATTTATAACAAATATGATATATGAATCAATGTTGGAAAGTAATGTATTACTTGTAATGCTGTTATAGTTATTGTAATCTTTTTCCACCTGTAATGAAAATACTTGTTATATTTTTACAGTAATAATAACGAAGTCGTTTCTTTTATCATTATTTCAGTTTCCTATTATCTTTATTTGTTCAATAGATGGCATTATTTTTATTATATTTGATTTAATAGAACCGTTTTATTTTTTTAAATTTATTTTTTTATTTAAATAAAAATTTATACATTAAAATATATCTTGTATTTTATATCTCAGAATGTATTTCGATAATCACTATTATTATTAAAAATCTGTAATATATACACACTATGTAAAGTGAATTATAAGTTTTCAATATTGGTAGTGAATGTCGGAATGCATTTCTAATTTTAACTTATAACGGCAACGGTAATTATTTTTATTTTTATAAAATGACATTCTCAACTTATGATGTAAGTGATATATATGTCATATATAAGAGATAATACAAAAAAGTGAATTTAATCAATTACCGATTAAATGAAGTATTTCCAGGCCATTAATAAAATTATAAATCTTTCGCATAAAACCTTCCATGAAGATTACTTCGGATAAACAAATACACATATATTTCAATTTCGTAGGAAACGCTTGCATTTCTGAGAAGTCGTGCAGTTGCATCGCAGTCGAAAAGTCCAGCAACATATGTGTTAAATTTGGACACTTATTAGCTAATTCATGAAGAACCGTATGAGTGATCAGTTCGATCGGTAATTCGATGTACCTCAATGTAGGTCCAAAGCGTACGCTGGAAATTTTAAGCCATCATTGTTTCATAATACCGTAATTCCGTGTCTAAAATAAGAATGGACTTGGTTCTTTCATGTCTCTTTAAATATTAATATCTCAAATAAATACTTTCGCAATTCTGAATCTGGTTTTAACAACAAGATCTTCAGATGATTCGACATCATTGCGATAAGTGCCAAATGTTTGCACTAAAATTATTTCTATGATTATCGTACACTAAACAACTAAGAGACATTCGAGAAACGTGAGGATTACGTATTACGTTTTTCTCTTACCTGATTAAATGTAACAAATTTTCTAGAGAGTTCACATGGAACCCACTTACTTCCGGTCTTAGGGATACATGCTTCCAGAGACGCGTATCATACGCGATTTGTCGCCAGCGTTTGCAAACTCGAGCAACTCTGCATATCTCGCGGTGCGAAAGGTAGCAAAAGACATTCAGAAGAACTTTGTCCGGCAATTTTTCTATCGTCTGTAGAGAAAAGACATTTTATTTATATCTACAAAAATCAACGATGTATTATTAATTATATTATTCAGAATTATTTAGGAAATTAGGAAACAAATTAGGAAGTTTCTTAAAGAAATTTAACAATATCGTAATTCCGTGCCTAAAATAAGAAATAACTCTAAAGCTGTAAATCCTAAATAAGAATAACTGTAATTATTAATATTGTCCTTAATTACTTATTTGAATATTGAAATATTTTGAATATTGAAATATGTTATTTATTTTAAATAACAATTAACAACAATACTTTTAATATTCAAAATAAATAATTAGCTACTAATTAATTTAATACTCACAGTATTAAATTTCTCTAACGTTCGTATCAGATTAAAAAATGAAATTGAATTTAATCAATCAGAAGAAAGAAAATGAAGTATCAAATTCAATATACTTTGCTTTGGTCAAATTCGATCTCAATTTCTAATTTGATATGGATGTAAGGAATGACATCGATCAAATATCTTTATAAATTAAATCATTTTATGTAATTTTGTATTCATGGTCTTATGTGCGTTATTAATATGTAACATTTATATACGTTAGCGCAATTTCGAAGTGAATTGAGTGTATGATATAAATACATTATCATCGAATTTGCCCTTTCCGTTAAGTTATCAAGCTATATTTATCAATTTTGGACCTCAATTTTGACGCTCCTTTCCATAGAATCCTTATATAAATGTATATATCGAGTGATTTAATGTTTAATATTATGTGCTAATTTCATTTCTTCGATAAAGATTCTGAACCTGTTGCGGGATTCTCTAAACGTTTTATCGACAATTGTAGCTATCATTAACTAGCGACAGTCAATGAGAGTCGCTTTCTTCCAAGATTGTCCTGCCATTATAGTTAACGAAAGCGACAATCATCAATAAGTCGTTTAGAGAATCCCTACTGATGTGTGAAGTAAATGAATTCAGATAGTCATGCGAAAAGTAGAAGATCAAACAAACAATCGTATTACATCGGTGTTAAATAAATCAACTTACAGTACGACTTTTAGCGGCGCCGCCTTCAGAAACGTACATCTGAGACGTTTCTAAAGCAATCTGACCCCAAACATCCACACCACCGAGATCCATGGTGCTGCTTCTTTTAACGTTAGATTAAAATGAAGACGTTTGGCTTTCGTGATAATTTTCGTCACGTATACAGTCTACTTTCTCTCTCCGAAATTAGATCCTTAAATCTTTATTTTTCGGTTTTACTATTTTATGTTGCAAGGTCACCTTTATTTTTTTTTTTTTGCTGTTAAACGTCACCATACGATTACGGCTTATTTCATCATAATTTTCGCGAAACAAATGTTATATTAGGATTTTCAATTCGTGCACTTCGATGTTTTTAAACGTGGACGAAAATTTAATAAGCGGAAAATATTACTGTTCGCAGTTATATGCGATTTGTTGGAATCGCGACACAACAGACAGAATTCGGGGAAGCTTACACTACAAGTCTTCAGCAGAGTTTTAATCGGATCGCGCTTGCGCGTCGCCCTAAATATAAGACTTGGAAGGCTTGCTTGAACTTTATTTTAAACCCCACCGCTATGCATATCTACTCGGAATACTAAGTCTTACATTTTTAATGAAATTTATATTTCCTGATAAAAAATCAAACTTGAAATGATCATTTTATTTACAATTGCCATGGCAATTGCCACACGATCGATTTTGCAGATTTTATATAAATACATATTTCATTTATCATTATATGGAATAAAGAACTGCGTTTATATTTTTTATGTATTTTATAGTATGCATTTATACATATACATACAGGTATTTATACATGCAATATAATTATATATCGCGCACAACTTATTAATATGTAGTCCGTCAAAAGTTCTGGACCAGCTGAATAGCTCGGAAAATATGCATTTCTGAGAAAAATGTTTTAAACAAAAATTGTAGGGTTTAAAAAGATTTATTTAATGATCTTATCAGTTTGATCTTGGGTGGCGTTGCCAGGTTAAGATCACATCGATTTTTTTTAAATTGGATCTTATTTTTGATTCCAGAATCTAATAGTCAATGTCAACAGCTTTTCAAAACACTAGAATAAAGTTCATTTTCATTAAATACTTTTTGAGTTATAAAGTTACAGTACTTGAAAGTTACAGTACTGCCATTATTAATATTATCTAAGGTGTTCAACCGACAATTACGATCTCTTGAATATTGTTCAAGATCATGCTCTGGATAACATTTGTTAAGATCATTGGAGATTGTTTCTCTTATTTTCATTTTTGCACTGAAAATTCATTTTTGCGTAAAAATAAAAATAAGAGAAACAATAATCTTGATCTTAATAAATGTTATCCAGAACTTTTTTTAGCGAGCACTGTATAATTTATATATATATAAATAATTCGTCATTTATATAATTATCTTTTCTGGAATATATATATACATATATATATATATATATATATATATATATATAATTTTTTGTACATATACACAGAATATATCTATAAATATATATTCTAAATATTTTTGGAAATTTTGTAATAATTACATTAGTTACTCTTGGCATACTCATAAAAGTGAATACTATTCGGAAGAAACAAATTGGCATTAAATTTTATTATTATTTAACATTTACATTTAATAAACAAATATACACTATTAAATATGTAGTATCAGATTTAATCTAATGTGAGTCTCGACTGTTCCTATTCAATTATATCCTTATTTTATACTAAAATAATCGTTATATTTGACTATAGATTGTCAAGTTTAATTTACTATTGCGAAAATTGCAAAATGATAAAAGACTTTTCGACTCAGTTTAGTCCATTTTATCTACACAAAAGCGCTTGGCAAAAACTTACAGGATACTCTGTATATATGTATGTACAGGGTGTCTCGTAAATTTTTGCCAAGCGCTTTTGTGTAAATAGAGCGGACTAAGTCGAAAAATCCTCTTCCATTTTGTAATTTTCGCAATGGTTAATGAAATATTAATGACTAAAAATCGCTAGATATAATACTAGTTTTTAATGATTTTTTACTCAAATACTATCAACGTTACAGAAAAATAGCGAAAGATAAAAATGATGATGATGTTTATTTTCTTCTCATAGAACACTAAGAACTTTTTCAGAAATTTTTTGACAACTTTTTGGTACTGCATTTTCTTACTTTTACCAACATGAGAAAATATGGTATTAAAAAATTCTGAAAAAATTCTGAAAAAATTTTCAGAAAATTACGTTGTCTTCCTTCACTCAAGCGATGTGTTATTTGTAAAAGCTTTGATATCAGTAACTGTCACCAACATTTTATAACAAATTAAAAAATAAAATTCAAATAGTACTATCTTCAATTTTTATACAATATTTGGATGTTGCCTAAAATTTACAAAGCTTCGTTACTTACAATTAGTTGTAAGTGACGATTTTATTTATTCGATTAAAAATGGTTTTACTAAAAATTAAGCATTAAAAAAATAATATATATAACTCATACTAACATTAAAAAAGCAATAAAATATTAAAATGATACTCTAGATTTAGCTCAATACTGTAATCAACTTGGCACTCAAAGTATTATTAAACTTCATACAAATGTATCTATAGGATACATGTGATCTTGTATAAATTCAACGCTGAATTATTCGTGAAACATCCTTCCGTGTACTTTTGGCGTAATGATTGGCACGATTTCAATATACACTTAATGAATCACCAGCAACAGGTTACACATCTGTCGCGTAATTAAGGTGCACGAGTTTCGTGTTGATCAGCGAAGTTAGTGATTTATAATATTAATTACACCTAGAAAGCTAAATTATCTCTAATCGGGGCATCGAATTATAACAATAAAGTCTATGGTGATTAATGATCAGTTTATTATCAAAGAAGCTTAATAGATAACTGTTTTTATAAATATTAATTTATTAAATTGTGAAATAAAAATAACGCAAAAAATGCTGAATAAAAATTGAGAAAAAGATGATCTTTTTTGCGTCAGGATGAAAACATGAAAAGTATAAAAATTTCTCTATTAAGGGATGTTAGAGCCAACGGAGCATTATTTCGTATTTCTCAAATCGTTTTGTTTTCCTTATATAGAATAAAAAAATCTTTCTCCAGAATAAAAGAAAAAACGCAAATACCTTTGAAAAAATACAACTGGTATGAAAAAAATCTTCCAAAAATTGTAAAATACAGGTTTCTATTACCATGTAGGTTCGCTTCCTTTACGTATATACAAATGAATGCAAAGATATATCCAAACAAAAAGTACTTTCCCATATTTGCGTAATTTATAAGAATATCATGAGACCTTCAAATTATGATTTTGAAGCTTACAAGTGGCTTAAGAAGTACTTTGAGTGTAATGTAACCTCGTATTCATGTGATATATAGGATATAGCAGAGTAAGAAATGTACGTAACGTTTTACTTAATATTTTTGATTAATATATAACGTTTTATATAACGTTTTAATTAATGTACGTAACGTTTTCTTGTACATTCTCTTCTCTACGTAATATTTTATTTGGAATTAAAAATCTGTTTTATCGACATCGATCAAGTTTGGCTGTCGCTCCCTCCAACATCCCTTTAACTTCAATGATAAAAATTTTCATATTTCTGTCCTAAAGAGGAATATGAAAAAAATTACATATTCAATGTTTTAGAACAGAAATAAAAAATTACTTACAGATCTTTATAAATATTTAAAAATATTATTTTAAAAAATATCTGTTATTTATAAGATTAATAATATATAAAAATATTGAAAAAGGTGGCAAAATTTCCTTTGAAAAAAAAAGATCTTACGGATTCGATTCAGCATCAAAAACTATAACATCTATTTTCTATACGATTAGAGTTAACTTAATTAAAATCTTTTTGTTGATCGGAATTATTTTATGAAATAAAGACTGACTTACATAATTATGAAATAAGTACAATATATAGGATGTTTGGAATTTAAATATCAAAACTTCGGGAGTATAGAATCGATAAACTAAGAAAAAAAGTCCTGTAGAGATATGCTCATTGTTGTTTCGTTTTGAAGAAAATTGCAAAAAAAGACAAAACGTAGTTACTTCGTTCTCACACTGCCTCTGAAGTATTAACTGAACTTTTTGCATGGTTAATTTATCTTCCTTTTCGTGTTGAGAAAAAAAAAGAGAAAAAATGAATCGTGTAAGAAGTTCGAACAAAAAGAACAGGCTTATTATCGTCACTGAAATTGTGCATGAAAACAATAATAATAATAATAATAATACAATAATAATTCCGTTTTCAGGTGAAAACTTTTTTTTGTTTATTTATATTTCTGCCTTTCTCTTGTAAATTTGTCAGTTATTCGTCAGAAGTTATCAAGTGAATTACTCCTGTGACAATATATCATGTATATATTCTAACATTGAATATGCTGATATGATTTTCGTGTATGGTTTCTGCGATAAGAGGTCAACATTTTGAATAATATCTACATTAAGCAACTGAATAAATACAATAAATAAGTAATGAGAAAGTATAAGAATAAAAACTACGTTTTGTCTTTTTTTTGCGATTTTCTCCAAAATGAAGCAAAAACGAGTATATCTCTATAGGACTTTTCTCTTAGTTTATCGATCCTTTACACTCATATTGGAATGTTAAACAAGTCCCGCAAAAGAGATTAATAGTAAAAAAGTAATAAATTAATAGAATAAGATTTTAAAATTAGATTAAAATATTGTATGAACGTTGAACAAAATTTATTAACACAATAAGAAGGGAAAGAAAACCTTTATAAATAGTCAAGCTGGATCTTAAACTGTTTAAATAATACTATATGAATTTATATTACATTACCTGTCATTTTAAATTGCGTCCCAAATTGTTTCTTTTTTTTCTTAAAATATAAACCAGATTAAATTGAACTTCAATAGTAACATCACAAATTAAATTGCCTAACAATTTAATAATTTGATGCTCATATTATAGACATCTTATAAAGATCTTGATAACATGAACATATTAAAATCTAATATTTTTTTATTGCAAAAAATATTACCTAGAAACTCTTTAATATTGTTTACACAGTTTAAAAAAAAACATTTCTACATATATTATACTAAATAAAATTTAATGAATTTTAATAAATATTTAGGTACTTCCGATATTATCAACTTAACGATATTATTTCCAAAATTTTTAACTTTAGAAAATAACTATAGTATTTTTTTTATCAATAATATAGATAAAAATTTTAAGTACGACCGTATATATAAATACATTAAATACGATAAAAAACCAAGATCGGTCAAATTTTGGATATTACAAATAATACATTATATATTCTTTTATTAAATCAATTTATTCCAGATATAATTGCGAGCCGATAACATTCGGTTTCAACACATTCATTCAGAAATGCTACTAATCCCCCCTAAATTAAATAGAAAGAAAGAAAGAAAGAAAGAAAGAAAGAAAGTAAAAAATTTATTGCGAAAAATATTACCTCATCCTAGCTGTTCCTGGCTCTATTTAATTTAGGGGGGATTAGTTGCATTTCAGAATGATTGTGTTGAAACCGAATGTTATCGGCTTGCAATTATATCTGGAATAAATTGATTTAATAAAAGAATATATCGTATAATATATTATTTGTAACATTCAAAATTTGATCGATCTTGGCTTTCTTTATTGTATTTAATACAGATAAAGATATTTATATAATACAAAATTTATAATTTTAGGACATATTACAAAGTATTTTTGTGTAAAAGAGAGAGAAGAGAGAGAAAGAGAGTGAAAGAGATCACGCATAAAAGTGATAACATTTTTGTCATGAAAGCGAAAGGGAAAATTCATAGCTATCTTTTAAAGTAGATATTACAAAATATTTACGATTTAACATGTTGCTCTTTTGATCGTATGATGAATTTAAATGATCAAAATTACCGTCGATTTTCCTCGATGCTTCGTGCTAAATTCTTCCTTGGATATTGCGCTGACGTGCTCCACGGCTAATTGTGTCCAAGTAGTCATTGTTAGAACAAATAATTTTACTGAACGAAAACTGTATGAATATAAGTAAAAAAAAATTTGAGTTCGCGTTTGCGTTTCTCGCGTGAAATGTACCGATGATTCATACGAGAGAACCGAAAATCGATCCCGACTAGTCAAGCGGATCGGCGTTTGACCGTCCTAAGAGAGTCAGCAGTTGCGACTGAGTTAATTAGTTATAAATAAAAGCAAGCAAACAGGCAGATAGGCATCACGCCAAAATGGGAAGACCTATTGACATTCCCCGACGGCTTGATGTGACAGCTCGCTACGTGGAAAAGAAACGTGAGCAAACGCCGATTTAGACATCGCGAAATTTCCACTCATTTCTCTTCGGCGGAAATAAAAAAAGATTTGTATATCATGCATATATGGAAAAAACAATTTTATTAAAGTATCTAGAAATTTTACTACATAGACATATGAAAAGTAATTATGTTGGATTATCAAAATAATTATGTAAAACGTTCAAACTGTTATTAAAGTGTTAAAATTTTTTGCAGCTCATCACACTTGTGCTTCCTATATAATTATTTTGGTGACCGAACATAATTATTTTCAGATCCATACATGGAAAGGACGGTTTTGCTGTAGCATTTAAAAATGTAGCTAAATACATATCTGAAGATAATTTTCTGTTCTTTATCGAAGGACTTTCTGAACTGATACATACCGATGGAATAAGTTCAAACAAATATACATATTTCACTTCAATTTATTGTTCATGTATCAATTTAGAAAATTCTTCGATAAAGATGAAGTCTTTTGTTGGATTATCAAAATAATTATGTAGAACGTTCGAGCTGGTTGCTAAAATGTCAAAACTTTCTACAGCATTCTTTATCAAGCTTGAGTTTCTTACATAATTATTTTGATAGTTCAACATAATTATTTTTAGATCTGTGCATGAAAAGGATGGTTTTGCTCGATATCAGATCCTTCACTCTCTTTATTTCTGCAAAATCCAGTTAGACATAATCACATTAAAAAAGATTTAAATGAATGGAATCTCTTTTTTTCTGCGAGAAAGCAGATCACTAGATTTTTTAGTCCGTTTTATATGCTATTGTGTTGTATGATACTGTGATCCACCTTAGTAGAATGGGAACTTTATTCTATTGAGAAAAAAAAGAAATTAAAGAGAAGAAAAGGAAGTTTTGATTATATCTAAAAATTTAGCAGAGGTACAGATTTGAAAATAATTTTGTTGTACCATCAAATAATTGTAGAATGCTCAAACTAGTTACTAGAATGTCAAAACTTTTTAGCATCGCTGATTATATTTGAAATTGCTATGTATGTAATTATTTTGATGGCCCAACAAAATTATTTTCAGATTTGTATTTATATTGAAAAACGAGTCTCTTTGCATTAATCAGGATTCAAATTAAAAATAGTCAAATCAGAATTTTCTGATTAAATCTATTATAATTTTAGCAGAATTCATATCGATGTGATTAGAATTTTCTGATTTATTCATTTTTAACTAAAAATTTTTTTTAGTGTAGCTATAATTAATTATTACATATTTCAATAAAACTGTTTATTTCCGTGTGCTTGCAATTTGCAACCTCGAGTAAGTGTGAAATAAAAATTCATAATCTTCAATTATTTAAATTGAATTAATTGTAAATTATTTCCGATTTCATAAAAAACATAAAGTTTAGAAGATGCAACAATTTCATCGGTTTTTTTTCTCTTTTTCCAGTTGAACAAAAGACAGATCTTTGATGTAGCAAAAATAAATTCGCTTACTGTATTAGGGCGCCTTATTATCTTTTCGGAATCATCTCCCTCGAAGGCGTTCAGTTGTTGCAGCGCAGCCTCCACGCTCAGCACATTCCAATTCGACATTCTTCGCATGTCCATGACGACAAGATTATAGAGATGAGATAATTTATTAGAAAAAAATCGCAAAGTGCGAATTACAAAGAATAGAAAACAGATAAGCAAGAAGCAATTTTCACGCTATTATTTTGTAAGCCATCTAGGAATGACGAACGCATAAGGATGTTTGTCAATACTTTATTAATTATGCAAAGGGAAAACGGACCATAAAAATCATGACATCACAGTTTTTTTGCACTTATCATAAAATTCCCCATGACACTTGAAAGATCGAAACGTAAACTTAACCGAATAGTAGCTTTTTGCAAGAATCTCGTGTATATATTATTTATGAATTATATTAAGATCGGAAAAACGCACGTTCTCGATTGTTGAGTACGATCTTTTTCCACTCTCGCGAGGCACAGTAACTTATCCGCCAGGTTTTCACAATCGCAGAACTATTGTGTCGCAGCCACCGTCACAAAACTTCAATAGATTTGGTAGAATAATCTTGATTTTTGATTCAATTCTGACTTTTTCGTGCTTATTAGTCGAGAACAGGCGTCGTTTAATAGATGAAAAGTAGCGTACTCAGTCATCTCGTCGTGATGTTCGTGTAGACGTCCGTTTGCGTTCTGCGAGTTGGAGGAGAAAAATTGTAACTAAAATTATCGCGTGTTTCTCACCGTTTTCTCAAAATAGATCCACTGGAGTGCTCCGCGAGCACAAGAACTTCGCAAGCGAATCATTCGAGCGAGAAGAGACACCGATGTACATTTTTTATGTGCAATCCGCCAAGAAAACCGATGTTCGTTTTACATCATGAAAATGAAACAATGGATCGCTCGTATGCGCTCCTTCCATATAAAACATTGGTCGTAATTTTTATCAAAAGCTAATTATAGCTTTCCCATATATCATTCACATATATATGATTACGATATTTTTAAATATGTAATCACATTTAAAATTCAAATATATAATCTTTTAATTTTTCTAAAATTATTAAGTGACAGCAATATAAAAAATACAACAAAAGAATAATACAAAAAGAATAACACAAAATTGTAAAAAGGGAAAAATCATTCATTTCAGTAAATCTGTTATCATTATCATACAGATAATGAAATATCAAATAATTATGCTGAATGTTCAAAAATATATTGCAACTAATGAATATATTTCAATACATTGTCTGCGCCAAGAAGTAAGATTGTGTGATTCATAATTTATGACTCATATAGTACCTATATATATTTTAGGAGATCAAAGAGATATACATTATTTTTTCCTTTTTTATGTAGCCAATTACGCGACACACACACACACACACACACACACACACACACACCTTATAATTTATCAACAAAATTGTATATTCTATTCTTTCACCCGCATTTTTCGAGATTACATATTATAAATTTACTCACGGAAGTTCTATGACATTTTCTGATTCTTACTTATTACATTTTCTGCCCAATTTGGAAATTACTCTTATGAAAAAATTACGTATATTATATTTAAATAATTAATTTGTGAATTCGCAGAAGTTATAAAAAAATTCTTTTGACGCTTTCTTCTTCAATATTCTTCTTCAATCGTGAGATTCGTACGTCACGCATTACAAGCGAATTTCCCTTTGACCGAAATCCAAGCGGAAACCCCTTGGCATTCTGCCGCGCCAACTTGATTAATTAAGGCCGATGTAGTAAGTAATAAATATAAGATACAACGATGATTGAGATACGTATTTATAAACGTTTTGATCTACAGCATACCAAAGATAACTTTCGTTCTTCTAAATAATCTAAATTATTAATGCATCATCGAGATTCTTTGATTTGGGAAAGTACCAAATGGTCTCGGAGGTAGTATCATATAATATCTTCAAATAAAATTCTTCAATCAATTAAGGCTATCTAAGAGATAAATATCCCTCTCGCCACTTTATCTCAAATTCTAGAATAGTATGAAGGTAATTAATAATCTTATTGTTAGCTGCAAATTTAACAGACAGATTTCTTATTAGATTTGTCTTAAAAATAACAGTAAAATTGAATAATATTACAGAATAAGATATACGAGAGATTTTTGTATACAAAGAAGAATTATCTTCAATAATATTTACTGTATGTTTCTACCAAAAAAAAAGATCAGGAAGATAAGAAAGATGTTCTCTTTAGAACGAGATGGAACCTAAATACACATACTGGTATAGTACTAATTTGATTCCCACATAAATTATATTCGACATGCATTCAATACGGGCAAAGCATGTCAAATTTATGCTGTCAGGAATACAAAAGCTAGACTATACAACTGATCCATATGAATAGCTTAAAGATATAAGTAAAAAATAAAAACAGGATATATTTTTGTTATTCCATTTACGAGTTTCTTTGAGAAGGTTTAAATTTAAATCTCATAAATATATTTTTGGCAATGACAATAATTAAAACTTCCGTTAAAAAAAATTTTGCATTGTTTGCCAAAACAATTTTGTTAATCACGTATAATATCAGTGATTTATATTTTTTGGAAAAGAATAATATTAATAATTTTAATAAGTTTATCTAGATCTTTAAACTGTTCTTATATGAATAAATCAAATAATTAAGAAAAAAGATCCATAAATGGTCATGGCTAGATTTTTCAATAATATTTAATAATATTTTTATATAGGGTAGATTGGGAAATAAAAGTCTTCGGGAAAAAAGGTTCACCCTTTGTATCTTGGTATAATGCATTCATTAGAAAATTCCGCCACACCATTCGTCAACTAAGAGTGGAAATCTTACGCTACACAATTTGTTGCCGCTTGGTAATTGTCAGAAAGCTTATACGGATGTGCCCGTTTGAGAGCCAAAAAGTAAAATATTAGCGTCGTAGTCATTTTGGTCTGAAAGGATCATTTTTGCAACTAGATAGATTAAGTAAGTATATTTATGAATCTTATTCTATTGTTTTAATAATGTGATTACTAAAACGATCATTTCTATTATACTTTTTTTAATAACAATGCTGCAAAGTTTATTTGTATTATTGGAGTAAAAAGGATGTTCTTATTATCCTTAATATTGATTGTATAAAAAATGAGTCGGTAATCCTAAGTCTTATCAGTGAAGTTGACCAGTAGCCAACTTGTACGACTAATGCTGATTGGCTAACTTCACCGATTAAGGTGAAGGCTAAGACTTCTGATTACCGACATTATAGAATCAGCATTAGTAGTGTTTTTTTACAGTAAGACTGACAATTATTCAGAATGCGGCCTTCACTTCCGATGCGTTTTTGCATAAAACGAAAGAATTTGTAAGAACAAATTTTGGATCGGCGAACTGAAATATTAAGCGTTAAAGTTGATCTATTCAGATCAGGAAATCTATCAAAGTAATGAAGTATAGTAACGCAAAAACGCATCGGAAGTGAAGTCGAGCCTAATTTCATCGAAATCAGAGGTGAAGGTCGCATTCTGAATAATTACCGAGAGACTTTCAATTGTATTTTTATTAAAAATAATCCTATATTTTCCCGAATGGAAATCGTAATGGGGAACTGACAAATTTCCTGGCAGTTTTTCTCGATGTCTGGACAGACAAGGAAAGCAGACACTGACAGGGAAAGCAAACTTTCTCAGTTTTTTAGAAAGAATGTTAGTAAGATCTTTTTTAATTATCTCATATGTGCTTTTATCAGTAATGTAAGCATTTTTTCTTCCTTTCTCATTGCCACTATCACATTACTCTTATCGGCTGTAGTCATAATATCATGGTTGTTTCTCAAAAATGATTTTGTTGCTTTCCACGTATCTGCAAGTTTATCCTTCAAAGAATCAATCCGACTAAAACTCGATGAAAGATTATTAATAATTGATATAATTTGATTCTTAACGTTTAATTTGCTTACATATAATTTATTAAGATCTATTATTACCATTTTCGATGTTTTTTATAAATTCTAAAATAATCTTTTTATAATTGGAAGGAAAAGTTTTCTCCTAATTATAAGAGACACTGTACGTTGTTCAAAATCAGAGTCGAAGTCAAGTTGCCGAACCAATTATTCTTCACTATTGTTAAAGAAAAATCAAACCTTTCTAATCTGAAGTCAGAAGGAAAGATATGAACTTCTGACCTGTTTACACCTAATTGGGAATCAACTAAACTCGATTGTGATGTAGGAACCGGAAGTTTTGATTTTACCGTACTTTCATTAGGTAAGCTGTGACAATGATTCGAAAGACCATAGTGTATCGGTTTTAGTGCTGCACAGTCATTGTCAGAAATGCGAACATCAGATCATCTCTGATCGCTAAACGTAAAGGACTTTTGTGTTTATTTCGATCTACCTTCCTGTAGACGGTTGGAGAAGTCTCACGAGACATCCTATATATATATATATATATATATATATATATATAGGAGCGAAATAAAGTGCACGGTAAATTATCAAGAAGATATATGCAGAAAAAGACGCAATATCATAATAACAGAAGAATTGTGAATATTAAGAACAATTGCAGCAATCTTTAGAAGTAAGAAAACGAATCACTAATATATAGAAGCAGCATAAGACCAAGTAGAGTAACAAGCAGAGATGTTGATAGAATGATATGTTACGCGTGACTAAAAGCTTTTTCGATTCTCAATCTATATATAAATATATTCTACATAGCTGAACTAATTGTATTAGTTTAGAATTTGTTTTTTTTCCCTTCACATTGGAAGAAGAAAGGTAAATTCTGCTAATGCATAGAGCTAATCATATATAGATACATCAGAAACTAATTAAACACTCTCTCTCTCTCTCTCCCTCTTTTTCTCTCTCTCTCTCTCTCTCTCAGTTCTTCTTAATGTTCCTTTTTAAACTCAGGCTCCATTTATTTAAAACTCATTTCCTGCTTCCATCAGGGAATCCGAAACACTCGTATTTAAACACGTACTATTTTGTCAACTGCGATAGCGAGAATTGAGATAGCTCTCGTTCTCATTTAAGCATATCGTCTTTCTGATCGCTTGTTTTATTCTCCGTCACCTACACTTTTATGTTTATTCTCGTGTTTTATTATTGCGAGTGTATTAGAAATATATTAGCTTTCGCGTATTCTTCATTACAACATATCTATACATTTTCTTTTTTTATTTCCTAGTTCACTTTTCGTCAAATTCATTCTTGTATTCTCGAGTTATATTATTCACGTTCTTCTTTATTGCTTATTCTTTATTAACTGTTTTACTCTTAGAGATTTTCTTTATACACCTTTTAGAATACGCGTAAACGATTTCTCTCTCTCTCTCTCTCTCTCTCTCTCTCTCTCTCTCTCTCTCACATTATGGTCGTAATTATGATTTGAGTTCCTCTGCATATTTATATAAACATATAATATTGTATCAAATAATCCCGAAAAAAATGTTTCATATATAATTATATATATGTCCATATATAACATTTTTTCCCCGGAATATTTTTTAATTTTTATTTCTCTTTCTGCATACACACATACAAATTTTAATAGAGAAAAGTAATTTTTAATCTTTACTTTCTGCCCAGATAGCAACGTGTCTGTCTGTTAGCATGTTGCTTATTAAATATGCATTGTTAAGCATGTGTTGCTACCAGAATTGCAACTGAATCCTCATTTATTGGCAACTTGATAT